GGGGTTTAGAACAAGATTGGAAATTTGTCAATAAAGATGAATCATGAACCATATGATCAGAAGCACCAGTATCAATTATCCAAGTTGTATTCATTGAAAGTGCAGAAAGGACAATAGACTTACCCAAGATGCTGCTCTGAACTACATTTGCCTGTGGAGTTGGAGACACATCATCAGCAAGTGTGAGGTTTTCTTTGTGAGGAATCTTCTTTCGAGGTCACTTAGTGAAGTCCCACCATTCAGGATATCCAATTATCTCATAGCAGCGTTGCTTGGAATGACCAAACTCACCACAATGAGAACAGAGAAAGGGAGCAGGCTTGTTAGGAGGGGCATTATCACGGCGAGACTTGGTGTTTTGGGAGAAATTGGAACGAGGAGGATGGGCAAGGAATGTAGTGGCATCAGGAGGGTTTTTGTGAGTATTCATGGTATGACGTTGCTGGTAGTCGCGTCGGACATAGGCATAGGAATTCTCCAGGTCAAGTTTGGGATCTTTTCGGAGTATCTCACCACGAATTTGATCAAACTCAGAATCGAGACCAGCAAAGAAGATGTTGACCCGTAAGCGAGAGATGGCTGAGTGTTGATGAACCAGATCAGCAACCGAAGCAGAGGAAGAAGTGCGATGGTCGATTTCTTGGAAAATGCCCAAGAGTTCGTTGTAGTAGGTTGCAAGCGAACGACCGAGTTGCTTCGTGGTAAATGATTTTTGGTTTAGGTCGAAGAGGCATGACTCATCTGAACCATCGAAGAATGTTTTGGAAGAAGCCTCCTAAATTTTGCATGCTGTCTCCAAACGAATAAAGCGCTGCATCGGACTGGGGCTCATGGAGTCAATCAACCAGCTTTTGACTCTCTTGTTGTCGGTGATCCAGGATTCAAGGGAGGGGTCACCGAGGTTTGGTTTCGAGGTGTCATCGGTGAGGAAACCGGTTTTGTTACGGGCTCCGATTCTCATATCCATGAGTTGTGACCAAAGGGGGAAGTTTGATTTATCGAGGATAACTGTTAGCGGTAGAGAAGAATGGTCTTGATGGATAATGATATTCTGTGGTGGTGGAAGAGTAGGGTTGGAGAGTGAAGAAGCATTGATATTTGGATTTTCGGGAGAGGTATCAGCCATGGTGGAAAAAAATTAGGTTTCTGAGAAGAAGAATTTGGGAAAGTTGAGATCGAAGTGTTCTGGAGAAAAAAAAAATTGAATGTGATAAGGTTTAGGTTCAGGTGCTGTTACGGGTTTGGGTTTGGGTGGGTAAGGAAAAAATTTAAAAAAAACGAAAGAGGATTGCCCAGGGAAAGAAACAACGCTCTTTGATACCATCTCAGAATTTGATAATTCTCATTCATTGTTTATCCTTCACTTCAAGAGTATTTTTATACAGAGATAGATAACAAATTAACAAACTAACAAACTAACAAACTAACAAGATTCCTAATTCTGTGATATGGTTTCAGATTGCAACAAATATTTAAATTTGAAAAATAAATCTTCTCTTCAACAGTCTTGAAGGGCTTAAACAATGTCTTCTTCTCTGTTTTGCGTAGAAGAATTAGTTCATGTGGACAAAAGTACTAGAGGAGGAAGGATTGAACACTCTTGAATAGAGGGAAGAGTAAAATTAGGGATGGGCATGGGTCGAACCGAAATGGATTTTTTACATAACCAAACCAAACCATTTTCATTCGGTTCGGTTCACAGAACTGAACCTTTTTTTAACTTGAACTGGTTGAATTTGGTTCAAAACCGGTTCAGAACCGGTTCGACCCAAACCAGTATTTCAACATCTCAACAGAATTTATTAATTTAATTCCAGAAAGCCCTCTTCTCAAAACAAAGCGTTCAAACAATGAAGAAAAACTAAAAAAGAAAGGAAGCGTGCGTGTCTTCCCCTTCTGAAACTTGGCGTCAACTAAGATTAAGATCGATTGTCATCTGAAATTTGGTGAATTCGTTCAATCGCTTGCGTTTTTCGTTGAAAGCAAAATTATTAATCTGCTACCTCAAGAACTGCAAAATTGGGTTCAGATCTCAGACCCTCCACATGTCGGTGCAAGTGACTTTCCATTCAGATGCGTCATCGGCGATGGGAGTGGGAGCGTCTAGGCCATGAAGCTCCGACGTGGGCCTCGAGGTGCCGCCGCGGAGCGTCTCAATCGCTGCCTGGCACAAGTTGCAGTTTCTGGTCAACAGAAGCCCCATGGTGCCATTCATAGGGTTCATTGTTCGTTTACAAGCTTCAAACAACAGAGATTGGAAAAACATTTCTTGAAAAGATTTCATGAAAGAAAAAAAGAGAGTTAAAAACTGATTTACCGAGATACTGTGATATATTTGTTTTCATGATTAAGGTTTTCATTAAAAAATTTCTTACCTGGAAGTCTTTGTTTGTTGGCTTATTCATAGTGCAGATTGAAGAGTGGTGAAAACTGATATAATGAGATAATGTGATATAAGTAAATGGTTCGGTTCGAACCGTTTACAAACCAGTTTTAAATTGGATCATAACTGAATTGTTTTAAAAAGTTAAAACCGGTTCAAGTTCAAGAACTATTTTAAAAAACCAATTTTTTTGGTCTAGTCCAATGTGGTTCTTAAAACAATTCAGTTTTTCCAGATATTTTGAACATCCCTAGTAAAATCGTACCATTGGACTATAAAAAATAAGAGTAACCGAACATAAAATATTTTCCTCTTAATCAATTGACGTTCGAGTAAACAAGAATGGGTTGGAACAAATAAAATTCCCTCCTCTGTCTTTAGGGATTGTGCCATTGTAATTAAGCTAGGAAAAGATACAAGTGACATTAGTTACAATTTACAACTTAAAGAGTTCATGCTAAAAGAAGAGAATTGACGGCTGAGATAAACTCTAAGCTTATTAAGGTAGACTCTAAATTCTTAGGTTTAGAGCCTACTATGAGTTTGGCATGGCTGTCCAGCCATGGTATATTTATGCACTTGGCACAATGAATGAGTGGGATGTTGTCTCACAATGTATGTATTCTGTGGATTTAACATCTGATTTATGATGCTCCGTCGTGGCTGTTTGAGTGAGATGATGTTATCATAAATTTGCTCTGTTTTATAACTAAGGCTTTCATATGAATGTTCAGTAGATGATGTGTTCTAATAATGGAGATCACTACGTGAAATGAGTTATCTTGGATGTGATCTATGCATTATAATGAAGTTCCATTGCCAAAAGCCATGTGTTTACATGTATGCATGTTGTCCTTATATGTTTTATGTGCAAGACAATGTGAATGAACCGTGGACAACAATGAAAGTTATGAAATGAAGCACTTATGATGCTAGAATCCGCGGTCACGTGAATGGATAAGTTTGCATCACTTAGGGGATGTCTGTTAAGCGGGTTCAAAGGAAATCCATGGTGGGAGACCACCACCATATATCAAGTGGGTCAAACACTATGTCTCTACCAGGTCCTCCCACTTAAGTACACTTTACTTAGCCCAGTATTGTATGCTCTACCTCAACCGAGTACCCAGGCTCAAAGTACTCAACCCGCCTCTAGCCAATCACTAGGCTAGCAGATGGGTTCAGGAGGAGCCTGTGACGGGGAACAACCACCAATGGGCTAAGCTAGCCCAATGGGTGCAAGTAGATCTGACACCTCATCTCAACCAAAAACCTTAAGACATTTGGTACATGAGTCATCCCACTTATATTCGCTTCACTTAGCCCATTACCAATTAATGTGAGACTCAACACACTTTAATATTTCAACAATCTCCCTCTTAAGTGTGAAATCCACAATTGATATACACCCCCCTTAACCGAGTACCCCAGTCGAGCCCAACCCGACTATGATACCAATGTTAGGCGAGTCTAGGAAGAGCCCGTGACGGAAAACTACCACCAATGGACTAAGCTACATCAATTATAGCAAGTGAGTCCGACATTAATTGTAGCAAGTGGGTCCAATACCACACTTCAACCTAATGCCTTAAAGTTTTGGGTTGAAACATGATGTCAGATCCACTTAGTGTGTTCTCCTAGCTTAGCCCATTGGTGATGGTACCTGCCACGGGCACCTCTTGAACTCGCGTGAGAATGTTTATGGTGAGCCACTCTCATTGAGATGCATACAGATATGGGATGTGATGATGACTTCTTTATGAAATGTTATATGCCCGATGTTTGTTACTAATTGAAATCACATCTTTGTATATGTAAAAAAAACTCTGCATCATGAAATATGGACAACCCTGAATTATTTGGATATTTTGGAGTGGTAGATAAAAGAAGTATCTTGGAATAGAAATGAATGCTATGTTAATTATATATCCATTTCTATTACTTAAAAATTACAAAATCACCATAAAAGAAGACTACACACGTATCTTGAGGTAACACAAACAAACATTATGAACCAATCTTTCTGTAGTTCAAAAATCATATATACTTCAGGCAGATATACATGTCAACTTTATTCATAAACCCAATTTTCAACTTGAAAATAGTACACGCATGTAGAACACCAGTCAATTTATTCGTGAAATATTCCATAACTTGCACACAGCCTGCAGAAATACATGTCAAGTTGTTCACGATACATTCCGTAACTTAAAAATTGTACACAATACCTGTCAAAGTATGAATCAACTTATTCTAAAACACTCCATATCTTAAAAATTGCACACCACATGTAGAAATAATACATGTCAAGTTGAGCTTTCTCCATGATATACCCTTCTCCAGAAATACATTCATGACAACTTCAGTCATAGGACAGTACCCTTTTGTAACATAATTAAAAGCAAGGCAAACCTCATCTAGAAATGCAAGTCAAAATTTATTTATATGAAACACCCTTCTTGTAACTTAAAAACCATACACACTTCACCTCCTGTATAAATACAGGACAACTTTAATCAGAAAACACCCATAAGAAACTTCAAAATCATACACACTTCTTGTAAGCATATACAGGTAAACTTTATTCATCAGCATCACACTCCACAAGAAAAGAAAAGCCCTCAATTTGCCAATAATTGTTGTCATGATGTTATCCACTTATTATCTAATTGCATTCTTTGAGTCCCGTTGAACCTTCAAAAATACATTAGATATTGTTGAAAGTTAAAATAGTTTCAAACTTTTAAAAAACACGGAAAATATGTTGACTCTATTCAATAATGCAGTGGTACTTGGCCCCCAAAATTTGATAAGAAAAAAATTAATGTTTAAATCATATTTCATAAAGCATAAGAACATGAAATGTAGATGTTTATTTGATTTGTTAGCTAGCCTAATTTTGAAATTCTAGTTCTAACAATTACGAGTTTCTATGCATGCTAAATCAAATTGAATCCATTATCATTTATGAACATTCTTTTTTATTTCTCAAAATGAACTTGTCATGTAATGTTTTACTATTTTCAAATTCGTGTTTTCATGAGATGGAAAAAAAAAAATGCAGGAAAAATAACAAACTCACCAACATTCCATGTTTTCTGCTTCTTGAAAAACAAGACAACTATAATTTTCAAGGCTAGCTTCAGTGAATGCAGTGAGAATAAGCTTTCTCCCACCAGACAACAATTTCCTGAAACAAATTATTAACAAAAATGATGTGATCAGATAAGATCAAAATATTTTAGTTAAAACACATATTGATTTAATGTTCCGAAATCTTCATAGATGTAGAGGACATAAGCAAATGACCACTAATAATTAGATGATAAAATGAGCCTTCTCAGACAATTAACAGCCGTTGAAGGTATTTAGCAAACGATATGTTTTAAAATAGAGGAATTACGAAAAAATATGCAAATTGAGAAGACAGAGAGGAAGTTAGTTAAATAAAATATATTGCATGTCCATAAGAATCAGCAAATTATATATACTTACATGCAAGTCATGGGAATCTGTCATTATACAAACTCATGGCTCGTCATCTTCGTCAACTCCCAGTTTTGTTTGATTATGCCATTTATATTGATTTCCCAATGAAATGAATCGTCTATTATCAATGTCACTTCACCATATTCTGGAAAGGTACCATAACAGAAACATTCCATGCTATGGCATCGGATGATCAACACTCTTTGCAAGGATGGGAAATGCAGAGAGGAACTCCCTGAGTAAAAGCATTTAAGTTCTGGCAACGAGTCAAGGACCAAACCCTCAAGCTGCTCGAGTATTATCATATCATCTATATCTTGTTCATTTTCCTCTGTAGACACTATTGCTTTTATTGATTCACAGTTGGATACGGACATCTCCTTCAGTTGAGGCAATGTTTTGACGGTTGAGGATGTGAACAAATATTTCAATCCACCACAGTCCCTTACATTAAGCTCTATCAGATTGCCGAAAAACAAAGTGGATGGTGTCAAGTTTGTCAAACAATTGCATGCAGAAACAAGTAATGATTCTAGATTTTCAAGGAATGGGCCCAGCCAAGAATGCTCTAACCCTATGGATTCAAGATGGGACAGACTCTGAAGCTCCAATCCTTTAAGCTGTGAAAGGATTTTAATATAAGCTATGTCAGGCCTTTGAGAGGGGAATATCTCTTTGAAGGCACTATCAACCAACCCAAGCTTTTCAATTCTGGATAGTGTGACCTTTGAAAGGAAAACAAATGGAAATTCGTCTGATTCATCATAAAAGCACTGCAAACTGAGGGATTTTATTCCTTGGAGGTCAACATGAAGTTTTCCTTGCACAATTTTCATGGCTTCTTCCTTACCGAGCCACAGTACCTCCAACTTGGGAGTAACCTAGAATTCAAAATAAATAAGAATGACGAGAAGGAAAAAAGGAATCGTAGATATATAATTAATTGAAGAGGAAAAAAATTTAGATAATAATTTATCAAATAAAAAAAAATGGAGTCTGAATTATTTGAACTCATGTTTTTGAATATTCAACCAAGCTTATTTGTTTTATTAAACAAGCAAGCTCAACTTTAGACTCAATTGTAAAAATGACCTCGCCTCAAATGATGTTATATGCTTGATATTAGAAGTCCGTGAATATGATCCACTAGGATTAGCCTAGTGGTGGGGATTGTGTGAATTAGGTGTATGAAGTGTAAGGGTGTGTGTTCAATTCCCATGTAATGCAAAAAAGAAGTCTGTGAATATATATATATATATATATATATATATATATATATATATATATATATGAAGAAAACATTTCTACAGCCACTTTAGATAAAAATTACATTTTCTCTCTCCGCCACGTCAGCCGACAGTGTCTGAGGAGAGAGAAAAAATGAACAGCTTTATTGTTATAACTAAGTATGACCGATCATACTTAGTTAAAAAAGGGTAGCTGTAGACAAGCTTATCTAAAGTGGTTGTAGAAATAATTTTCCCTATATATATATATGTAAAGAACAGTGGGATATACCACCCCAAAAGCTAGCTCAAAGGGTGGGAGTGCCCAAGGTCTTATAAACTCCACATTAGTTGCTCATACAACCAATGTGGGACTATATATCTCAACACGCCCCCTCACACAAGAGCCCATTGGGCTTGAAGAGTGGACAATGCAACAGGCCCAGCCTACCTGTGCTAAGAAACTCCACAAGAGAAAGTGGGGGGTGGCGAGGCTCTGATACCATGTAAAGAACCTTGGGATATACCACCCTAAAAGCTAGCTCACGATTGTTGAGTGAGGGCTACGGTCTCAAACTCTTCGATCTTTCTTCTTTTTGACAAAATGTCCTTCATGAATTTTGCATATGAAGGCATTTGCTCCAGAGCTTCTACTAGAGGGATATTTATGTGAAGTTGTTTCATCAAGTCAAGAAACTGGCTAAACTGTTTATCCTCGTGTTGCTTTTTCAACCTCTGTGGAAAAGGAGGCTCGATCGGTTCACTCCTTCTCTTGCATGGGGGAACATAAGTTGGACCTGAAACTGGTTCACTGACTTTTGTTGCTCCAAGTTCTGCTACAGGTGTTGCATCATCCGGTTTGATTTCAGCAGACTCATTGCTTTGGACCTTCTCTTCTGGTCCTGTCTGAGCTTCAAGGTGTGAAGGGTCAGTGGCTTCTTCAACTTCCTTTCCTATGGGCTGTTTTGCTGGTTCGCGCTTTCGAGGTCGTGCCACTAAGTCTGGGGGTGGTAAGGTTTTTCCATCTCGCAGGCTTATAGCATTACAATGCTCCTGGTTATCTTGAGACGGCTTTTCTGTATCACTAGGGAGTGTCCCTGGTTGCCTCTGTTTGAGTGCTCCAGCCAGCTGACCAATTTGGGTTTCTAGGTTTCGCATGGCTGCGCTGTTCTGATTCATGTACTCCTTGACAGAAGTCTCAAAGGATTGAGACTTCCCATCACCCTTATCCCAGTTTTGTTGGTTCTGCCTGGGATACGGGGGTCGGTTCTGGTAGTTTCCTCCACTACCTCCAGCATTATTCTGATTCCTCCAGCCTCGGTTATTGTTCCCTTGATGGTTGTCATTGCTCCTGTTGTCATACCCTCCTGCATAGCACACAGCAGCTAGATTGTTACAGTCCTCATATTCATGAGGACCTCCACAAGTGGGGCAACTCTGACTTGATTGAGTCAAAAGAAGTTGCTCAGTTGTTTTTTTCCGTTCCATGGGCTTCCAGTTTTTTATAGTGTTCTGGAGCGAAGCCATTTGTGCAGAAAGAGCATCAGCTGAGCTTAGGTCAAGAACTCCTGCTTTCTTAGGAGCACTGTGTCGTGTGGAAGGCCATGAAATATGTTTTTTTGAAAGTTTTTCCAACAACTGGTAGGTTTCTGGATAAGTAAAATCCAAAAGATCTCCCCCTGCGGCTGCATCAACAGTTGCTTTCAATGGTGGGGTTAAACCATGATAAAACGTGTGAATGATGCCCCAATCAGAAACTCCATGATTCGGGCAGATTCGTATCAACTCTTTAAAGCGTTCCCACGCTTCATACAGACTTTCTTCATCATACATTTGAAAAGAAGCTATATCAGCCCTCACTTGGGCTTGTTTTGCTTGGGGAAAAAATCGGGTAACAAACTGTTCCGCCAATTGCTCCCAACTGGTGAAGGAGTTTGGGGGCAATGTTCTCCTCCATTCTTTGGCTTTTCCAGCTAAGGAAAATGGAAAAAGCCGCATCCGCATGTTTTCTTCCGAAATACCATGAACTTTGAAATTGTCAACTATCTCAGTGAAATTGTCCAAATGACTGTGAGGGTCTTCCATGGGTAGTCCATGGAACTGACCAGCGTTCATAATCATTTGGAACATTGCAGGTTTTATTTCAAAGTTCGGGATATTCAGAGGAGGGGGAACATATCCTCGTTCTGGACCATTTCTGAAGGGAGCCAGCCATATCATTCAATGATGGCCCTCTTCCTCCATTCGGTCCTTGTTCAGGCTCATGATTATGATTTTCATTGTTATCATTGTTTACAACCTCCTCCATTGTACTGTTTTTCAACCTTTGAACTCTTCTTCTATTTCTGAAGGTTCTCTCGGGTTCTGGATCAAAAAGTACTATTTCCAGTCCAAGTTCTGTAGGTTCTGTGCTCATACAAATGGAGGAAGTTTATTAAAACAAAAAGACTGCGATTAAACAGCAAAAATGTTTCCTTAAAAACGCCTTTTCTTGCCAAATGATCTCCGGCAACGGCGCCAATTGCTTGGTCGAACCGAGAGTTGCTCGGGAATATTTCTTTCAGAGAGCAAGAATGTAGAGTAGTAATCAGGATTGCCAACAGGAGCAATCTACTCTGACTAAGAGCAACCCTCTTCAACTATACGCAAGCGTACGTGTCAAGCAATATAGGGTATTATAGCCCCAGATTTATCGTCCTCAGGGAGCAGTTGTGAAGTAAGAAGCGCTAAAGGAAACTTAATTTGTAAAATGGAGCAATAAAAGAAATCACTATTCTCAGCTAAGCTTCACAAAGAGCAATCTCTGGGCAGCTAGTTAAACAATGTTAACCATTCTGAACCAGATGAGAGCAGTGAATGACTTAGCATGGTCATCGAATAAAATGGCATCAATTGAAGTAACTTTAAGAGCAGTCAACGAAATGAAAGTAAGAGCATCAGCTAGTAAAACACAGTTCAGTTATCGTGAGGAAAAGGTTGTGATAGGAATTGAGTTAAGATTAATTTCAGAAAGAAAAAGATCAAGTAGGTGTTACGGGTTCCATGTTTTCATCCCTTTGGTTAACCCTGCCTGGTAGCATATTTTACAAGTGGATTTTGCTCCTTCCCTTGTTTTGCTATAGGTAAGCAGAGGGTAAGGCCTTACTCTCCACGTTACTCCATAGTACTTGGAGTTATATGCAAGGAAACCATGCTGCCTTCTCAAAAGAGCATGGATTCACATGGCAGTGCTCCCCATTCCAGGTGTTTATCCCTCATTTCTTCAGGCTAAACTACCCTAGGATTTTGAGAATGCTCCACACGCCTTTGTCAGTGTTTCATCAACCGAGTGGTCTCGGGATGTGGTTGCCAGCCCAAAGGGTTTCACAAAATCAATAAATTAAACCAAAGAGCAACTCAAAATTCATTTATAAAATATGTGTTCCTTACAAAGCTATCCTAAGACAAAAGGGTTTACTTCTATGGAACCCTCACCTACTTAGAGGAAGTTAGCTCCTAGTGAGCATTTTTACAAAGAAATAAGAAAACAAAGAGACAACCAGTCCTAGGATGGGTGCTGATCCTCCTCTTTATGAGGATTGCTTGTTCCTTTTATAGGGTTCTTCATTTGATCTCCATTGTTCCTTTCATCAAGGGTCGTGCTTTGTCTAAATCCTCTCCAATGGTAGCTTTACTTCTTGCCAGCTTGGCCTTAAATGGAAGTGGTCCCCCTTGCTTTTGGCTCCCTTTGTGAGTAGGAGTATCGGATTCAGGGTGGCACCTCCACTCCTTCTGCTGTAGCTGACGTGGCGGCTCCCCATTGTTCAGCTTCTTTGCTTTCGTACTGTAGCAGAGGCAGCACCTTCACCTTCTCTGCTGTAGCTGACGTGGCGGCTACCCATTGCTCAGCTTCTTTGCTTTCATACTGTAGCAGAGGCAGCACCTTCACCTTCTCT